GGTTTAACTGAAGAAGAAACAAAGGCAAAAAAACAAAGGCAAGAATCAGCCGATTTTCCATAGCAATCTAAGGGCGGCTAAGAACAAGGTTTGGTGAAGGAGAATAATGGGTACAGAGGAAGACTTTGGTTGACGAACTGACTATGATTCGTGTTCTACAGGATACATCTCAGTTGAAAAGATAAAAAGATTCAGGTCCTCTAATATTGCCAAGCGAAATAGTTTAGTACAGAGGAAATATCTATATTTCTCTACAGTATTAAATCTGCTGACGGCATTATTAACAGACACTATTCATTGTTCTGAAAACCTACCGTTTTTGACCTTTCTTTGTTCAACAGCAGTGATATTAGTCGATAATGATCAAAACTTTCGAGATAATATTAGGGAAGAAATTAATTCACGAAATAATGTATTTTTTAGATTAATTATTTTAATAGGTTGAAATTTATAGTGTTTGTCGTAAAGTCGTCATGCCTTTCGAGCGATCTACTATGTGGTCAGTTTTCCGACGAACTCACAGAGAGAATGAACGTGTTGCATGACACATGCACGTCTCAACACACAGGTCGACATGCCTTCCGGGCGACCTACAAGGTCGCCATGCTCTCTAGACGATCTACAACCTTGTAGGTCGCCATACATTCCGGGTGACCTACCCTTGCTCGCTTGCTCAGCTGCCCTCGAATTTCCTTACATAGCTCGTTCGGCTGCCCTCGCATAGCTCGCTCGAATGGCCTCGGTCAGATGGCCTCGGATGCCCAACGTGTTGGGACGTGCATGACACATGTAATCTCTCGTAGCTCGCCGAGAAGACATGACGATCTAGTAGGTCGCCCGGAAGATATGACGAACTATGACCAACACTGTAAATTTAACCATATTTAAGTAATTAATCTTGAGAGTGCATTATATCGTGAATTAATTTCTTTCTAGAACATTATCTCAAAAGTTTTGCGGTTGACAATGAGTTTCTTTATTAATCACGAGGGTTGATGGTTTCTTGTCGTTTTTGGACAACGACTTTTTATATTTCTTGCGCCATTTGGTTTAAGTAATTCATTGCATTTTAGTCCCTATAAATTTTACTCAATTTATTTTGTAAAGTACATCAGTAAGTGTATGCGTGAATTTTACAAGATATATTATTTTTTAATAATCTAAAATGATTATAATAAAATATATATTTAAAATATTTTTAGATATTAATGACATATATATTTATAAATACAATTATTTGAATTTAATTTTTTTTAAAGAAAACAATATCTTAACACGGTAGTAAAAAGTTGTATTAAATGTTGGAAATGGCAAATCCTCAAACCTATGGCAAAGCACAAGCTAATCGGTTTTCCACTCTTATCTGTTCAAACTCGGATGCTTATTGCATATTAAATTTTTATGAAATGTTTGGGCTATAACAATTTGATTAAATAAAAAAACTGTGATTGTCCAAGGTGGTTCATGGAATAATTTGCATCACTTGTTGTAGTGGTGGGACAGTGAGATGATAAAATAAAGGACGGTTTGTTGAAAGTTTTGTATCATATATATATATATATATATATACATTTATATTTTTTTCATATTTAACATATGTTATGTATATTTTATATAAAACTAAAAGATTTGATCAAAATTTGAAAATTAATCTATTAATTATTAAAAAAATTAAATTAATCAAGTTATATAAGATTTAAATTTAAATATTTTTAGTTGAATTAATTTTATAAAATTATAACTCAAAATCAATTTAAATTGAGTATATAAAAATTATAACTTTTTCGAATGAAATCAAATTTGGCTGACCCTACTGTTCAGTTCAACAATTACACCACCTACCTTACCATTCTTGAATTCAAGTCAGAAATATGGAATTTGACAGATGCTCAGGCCGAAAATGTTAATGTAAGCAGTATTTGAAGCCCATTGTTTCGATTTTTATATTCGCTCTATATTTATTAAGGTCGCCGACCCACCTCAACAGGTAAAATCAACGAGATAATACGTTGAAATTTTTTTTTCACGAGATAGTGCCCTCGTCAGATTAATTGCTCATATAGGTCGTCAGGTGCTCCGGACGTTCATGTTAGATAGGGTAGGTCGCCATGCACGCCCAACGACCTATCAGGTCGCCATGCACGCCCAACAACCTAGGTAGGTCGCCATGCAATCCAGCCCCCAAAGGTCGCCATGCAATCCATGCACAGGAATAAATGTTTAGCCGTTTGGCAGCCGACTCATTGCTTAAACAAGCAGAAAGCAAACAAGCACAAGCCAAAGACAAGTCAATGAAAGTGGACAATATCATATTAATAATACTGCATCTTAGGCTGGAAAATACTAAATATTCATCCAATATAAAGAAATAAAAGGTCTAATCATGTTTTCAGTCATTGTACTATCCAACTATTTAAAATGTAGTCCCTCTAATTTAAATCTAAGTATTTTCACCCTTCTAAAAACTAATATTTCTTTTTAAATGTTTTTAGTCTTTGTTTAAATGAAGAATTATAATTTTCAACCTTTTGAAAAATAAAAAAGTTGATTTACTTTTTTTTTGTTTATCAATTGATATTCGATCAATTGATCGATTATTTCAGACTAGATTTTACATAAACTCATTTTAAAAATGGCATTGTCATATTAATTTATTTCATTCACAAAATTCCAATTATCTAAAATATTATAATTGTATCTCAGAACAAACATAAATTTCTAATTTCACTTGATTAGTACATAACACGTGAAAAGTTCAATAAAAAATAAAAATATTCAACCTGAAATCTCTGGTTCTGAATTCAAGATTATAAGATTTTAAAAAACTGAACTGTGTTGATTTTTCTTTCTACTTGTATGACTTCAATAACACTTTATATCACATAATTCAATTTAGTACGTATCTTCAGGCATTTGCCAAGCATGGACTACATGGCGACCTTTGGGGGCAGCATGGATTGCATGGCGACCTACCTAGGTCGCTGGGCGTGCATGGCGACCTGGTAGGTCGCTGGGCGTGCATGGCGACCTACCCCATCTAACAGGGACGTCGCCCGGAGCACCTGGCGACCTATATGGGGACTGTAGAGATCACCCCATCTGAGCAATTAATCTGACGAGGGCACCATCTCGTGAAAAAAAAAATTTCAACGCATTATCTCTACAGTCCCCATATAGGTCGCCAGGTGCTCCGGGCGACGTCCCTGTTAGATGGGGTAGGTCGCCATGCACGCCCAGCGACCTACCAGGTCGCCATGCACTCCCAACGACCTAGGTAGGTCGCCATGCAATCCATGCAGCCCCCAAAGGTCGCCATGTAGTCCATGCTTGGCAAATGCCTGAAGATACGTACTAAATTGAATTATGTGATATAAAGTGTTATTGAAGTCATACAAGTAGAAAGAAAAATCAACACAGTTCAGTTTTTCAAAATCTTATAATCTTGAATTCAGAACCAGAGATTTCAGGTTGAATATTTTTATTTTTTATTAAACTTTTCACGTGTTCTGTACTAATCAAGTGAAATTAGAAATTTATGTTTGTTCTGAGATACAATTATAATATTTTAGATAATTGGAATTTTGTGAATGAAATAAATTAATATGACAATGCCATTTTTAAAATGAGTTTATGTAAAATCTAGTCTGAAATAATCGATCAATTGATCGAATATCAATTGATAAACAAAAAAAAAGTAAATCAACTTTTTTATTTTTCAAAAGGTTGAAAATTATAATTCTTCATTTAAACAAAGACTAAAAACATTTAAAAAGAAATATTAGTTTTTAGAAGGGTGAAAATACTTAGATTTAAATTAGAGGGACTACATTTTAAATAGTTGAATAGTACAACGACTGAAAACATGATTAGACCTTTTATTTCTTTATATTGAATGAGTATTTAGTATTTTCCAGGGCTAAACTTTCAAGATAATGTTCTCGAACAAATTATTTCACGAGATAATGCTCTCCCAATATTAATTGCTCAAATAGGGTGAAATACAGTATTGGCCGTAGGTCGCCATGCCTTCCGGGCGACCTACTACGTGGCCAGCTTCCCGACGACGAACACACAGAGAAAATGAATGTGTTGCATGGCACATGCACGTCCCCAAGCATAGGTCGCCATGCCCTCCGGGCGACCTTGTAGGTCGCCATGCAATCCTGGCGACCTTGTAGGTCGCCATGCACTCCTGGCGACCTTGTAGGTCGCCATGCACTCCGGGCGACCTACCCTTGCTAGCTCGCTCGGATGCCCTCGCATAGCTCGCTCGGCTATCCTCGCATGCCCTCACATAATTCAGTCGGATGGCCTCGGTCGGATGCCCTCGGTCGGATGGCCTCGGTCGGATGGCCTCGGATGCTCTCGCATAGCTTCTCGGATGGCCTCGGATGCCCACCGTGTTGGGACGTACATGGCGCATGCAATCTCTCTCATAGCTTCCCGGCGAGCTGCACATAGATAATGGACGTTTTAACGTCCCCAACACATAGGTCGCCATGCCCTCCCAGCGACCTACGACAAACACTGTGGCTTTCACCCTATTTCAGCAAATAATATGGGGAGTGCATTATCTCGTGAATTATTTATTTTGAAAGCATTATATCGTGAGTTTTGCCATTTTCCAGCCTAAGATGCAGTATTATTAATATGATATTGTCCACTTTCATTGATTTGTCTTTGGCTTGTGCTTGTTTGCTTTCTGCTTGTTTAAGCAATGAGTCGGCTGCCAAACGACTAAACATTTATTCCTGTGCATGGACCTGCATGGCGACCATTGGCCTGGATTGCATGGCGACTTACCTCATGGACGTCGTTCGAAGCACCTGGTGACTTATATGGAGACTGTAGAGATCACCTCATCTGAACAATTAATCTGACGAGGACATCATTTCGTGAAAAATTTTTTTTAACACATTATCTCCTTGATTTTGCCGAGATAATGCGTTGAAATTTTTTTATTCCTCTTTCTCGTACAATCTAACAACAAGAGTTGCAAGAAAAAAAACCAAGATCAAGATGGTGGGTCAATGGATGGCGACTAAACCAAGCCGGAGCGATGAAGTTTTGGACGCTGATCAACAACAGCAAATCACTAATCAAGTAAGAGCTCAGTTCGAATCGATGGTCCCAAAACGACCCACCAAGCCCAACAGGAGTGAACCAGATTTAGCATCAACCACCTCCTCCAATCTCCCTTCAGACGTCGACCAAACCATACCCGAGCTCGACAAGTTACGATCCCTTCAATCTCAGTCCCTTGTATGCACAATTCCTTAACGTTTTAGATTCATTATCACCCTTTCTCTTTTGGGTCCCTTTGTTTCAATTCTGTATTTTGATTTCTTTAGGTGAAGATTTCAGAGGGGGGGGGGGTTACAGTGGAACAAGATGAATTTGTGGAGACAGAATATTACAGGGAGATGAATTCCATTGACAAAGAGCATCACACGGTTTCCTTTTTTTATGTGTCTTGAGCTTTTATCCTCCTACAGTGATATTGTTTTGTATGAACCCTGAAGCGTCTTGTCTTTTTTATGACAGACAGGAAGTGGGTTTATAAGAGTGATGAAAGAAGGAGCTGAAGCTAATGAATATGATGGTATTCAGCTGGGAAATGGACAGGGTGCTGGGAATTCAACCAACAAGCCAGTTTTCAAAAGCAACCCAGCAACAAATGACTGGATTCCCACCCTTGAAGAAGATCAGGTAATCATTTAGGGCTTATTTTTAATCAAATAGAAGAATTAAAAGGGTCATTTGTTCGAAGATCATCAAAACAGTTTTGCTTGTATGTATATGATCAGGTCTTTGTTTCTTCCAAGCCTAATCGAAGTGAGGGTTGTTAGATCAATACTGGATGTTACCAACTTTGCTTAAATAAATTATACTTGTACGCCTGGAAGATTTCTGAATAGTTTAAACAGTGTTCTTTGCTCGCAAGTTGTTGCAGTTTAAAAGGTAAAACCATGAAATACCATGAAATACAATGAAATTAGAACGAAAAACACAGCCATGACTAACAATCTTTATGAAGAATTACAGAAACAGGAAAAGGAAGTTGACAAATTCCAGAAATTTCAGAAACTAAGAAAGCAGCTTCTTCCCGCTGAGTTGCTCTGCACATGGCTTCCAATGGTTCAACTTTAGGCATGGTGAGCCTTTGCCCTTCGGTTATGTCGATTGCCTTCTCACTCACCCTCTCCCACTCAAAACATTGAATAAATGCCCCAATGTCGACCCCAGCACATGTCGGGCTAACACCATTCCGGGGCAAGCTCTTCTTCCTAACCCAAACGGCATTAACTTATAGATAAGATCACTCGTTTCTTTGCCTTGTTCGAACCTCTCTGGCTTAAAACTTATCAGATCATCCCATAACTTAGGGTCCCTTTGTATAGCCCAAGCATTCACCATCAAAATTGCATCTTTGGGTATTTCGTAGCCTCCGATGCTGCAAATCTCAGATGCCGAATGTGGAACTAACAGTTGAGCTGCCGGAAATAGCCGAAGAGTCTCGGAGATTATGCATTGCAAATAAGGTAATTTCGCGACATTGGATTATTCCACCAGTTTTTCTTGACCGATACGTTTGTCTAGTTCAGCTCTAGCTTAAGCTTTTGCCAACACTAAAGGATTGTTTAGCAGATTGGACATTGCCCATTCCAATGTTAGTGCTGTTGTCAGTTCCAGCATTTAAAATAACTTGCACAAAAATGAAATCCATAACTTGAAAATGATAAGTACTATTAATTATCGCCTCTTAAAATGTATTAAAATAATGAACTTGAAAATTCCAACTGACCTGTATAAGTCCTTTGATGATTACATCAGTATAATATTGAGGCTGTGATTCTTGCAAATATGGCAGATAAGTGATCATTGTGTTTTCTATGGTTAAATCGCCTTTGTTCCTCCTATGTTCATCAATCATCTCTTGCATCAAATCGACTGTTTTCTTACCCAGTTTATCCTCCTGATGTATTCATTGTAATCAACCCATTGCAATATTGGCAAGAAATCTCCCGGATATGAGGACACCGACAATTCAAAGAGTTCCTTAATCATCTCCCTGAACCGCCTCCCTTCTTCAGAGTTCTGGGCAACATCGTCGCCGAAATACTGTTTCCCCGCTATCATTCTCGTGATTATATTAAACGTCAGCTCCGAAAACATCGATTTCAGCTCCACTTTGGCGAACCCGTCGGTGGAAACCCGGTACAATCGAGCAGCAAACGATTGATTTTGTCTCTTCGAATGTCTAGAGACATGTTCAGACGAGTCGACGAGAAGATCTCGATGGTGGATAGTTTCGTGAGGTTGCGCCAATGGTCTCCGTACGGTGCCAAACCGAGAGTGGTGTGGTTGTAGCCGACGTAATTGCCCATGACGAAGCGAGGGCGGTTGGCTAAAACGATGTCGTTCTTGGTGAAACATTGTTGGACGGCGGAGGGCGAGGAGACGACGACAAGGAAACGGGATCCGAACTTGAGGGAAAAGATGGGACCGTGTTTTTGTGAGAGGGAAGAGAGGGTTCGATGGAGGGGTTCTTTGAGGAGATGGAGGTGGCCCAGAATCGGAATAGCCAACGGACTGGGTGGGAGATTTTTGCGTGTTGAGATGATTAACTTGGTGACCAGCGCTAGAAAAAGTGCTGAAAGCAACGAGTATATCAAGATTGGTTCCATTTTCATTTGCTCAACACTAGATTTTGCTGAAGATTTCAAGGCACGTCTGTAGTATATCAAGAGGACTGATGCCGTATAGCATTTTTTTCTCCAAAGAAAATTAGGCCCAGAACTTGCCAAAAGGACAAACACTATCGCCATGTTCACGGACACAGCGCAGTTGACCACAAAGTCTTCCGATATATAATTATCACTCATCATTAACCGCCGTCCGTGCTTTGAATATGTCAGGCCGTAATACTCAATTTCCCTCCATCATTTTATATCCCCTGAAGATACGTAAATGGAGTTTCGTACAACACTTTCTCCATTATTAAATTATTGAAGATAAAATAATAATTAAAACAATATTTTTCGAGAAGTTAAATTGTATTATTTGAAGAAAAAAACTGTCGGAGGTATGCACAGCATTTTGAGGTTAAAACAAAACTCTGTTTATTCACTGTACTCTGTTACAAAAGAGTCATTAAAGTTGAATACATCTGAATAAAATATATATTACATCATTTTCTTAGTTCTAAACTCATATTATCTTCAATACTACGTTGTCTCTTGTGTGTAACTCCTTTTGCAAATATTCTTTACAATGTATAAACATTCCGATAATAATATAAGATCTCTGATGGGAATTATCTTGAAGAAAAATATGGAGCCAGATTAATCTCCATTTTTTATATTTGGGCTATCGGGTTGTTAGCAGCGGGATAAAGTAGCACTATTACTGGAACCTATATATGGCTGTCCACCATGGGAGGTTTCTCTGAGGATAGATAAAAAGGCCAAGAGCATTTATCACAAGGAGTTGTGCAATCATTCCTACTATTATAGTTGCTTAACATGCTTCAGTAATTCATTGATGCTAAATATAAGGGGAGTTTTATGTGCGACGGGTTAGAATGTGATTAAAAACAGTAAATGTAAGAAGAATGTGATAAAAAACAGTAAAAGTAAGTATAACTCTTGTGATAAAAAAATATAACATTTTAAGTTTGATGTAACTTAAAATGTAACATTTTTATTATATTTTCGGCAATAATCTAAAATATTATTTTCTTTATAATATTTTTGATTGACAATCAATAACGTGACATTCTTCCTAACATCTTAGATTACAACCGAAAATGATACCATGAATGTCACATCTTAAATTGCATCCAAGAGTGAGTCAAGCTAATCTATTCTATCCCTTTTTCTTCAAATAGTGGCTAATTCTACCGTTAAATGTCTTTCTTTCATTCTTCTGTTTTAGTTGGTTTATCCTATATATTCTCACCCATTGTCCTCTCGTCCCTTTTTATTTAATATTAACAATTGGTGATGATAGACTAGTGACAGTGATTATATTGTCGGTGAAGGTTGGATCAACAACGATGATAAATGGTAGTGGTCTACATTTTTTTTATATTAATAGATTGTCACTCGTGTCATTTGATAAGATTTTTTTTAATCTCGTTATAATTAAAAATTATAATGTTTGTAACATTAATAACATAAATTAATAAAAAAATTAAAAAATAAAATTTAAATATTTATTTTTATATTATGTTATTATTTTAATAAAAAATTTTGAACACAAAAAATATTATTAATTATTTGAACTAAATCTTAGAAAACAACAAAATATAATTATTGTACTTTAATAATCAACTCTGACGGAGTCAGATATAATGCAGACACATGACATTCCTTTTCTAATTTCATTTTTTTTATTTTGAAAAACAAAGAAAAAGAAGCATCGAGAAGGATAGTGAAATATGTATATATTTGATTTTTTTTTGCTCATAGGTAACTATAAAACAGCATATCTTTAAAGATTATTTTTAATAATTTAATCTCAAATATTTATATTTTTTATATTCATAATATTTAAAATTAAGATTTTAAAAATTAATAATAATTTATTTAAAATCGAGATCGTTTTGTTCATGCTAAATATTATTATATAAAATGGTTTTACTAAATTAATAAATAAATGCGAGGATATTTAATTATTTTTTGCAGAATTACTCCTTTTGGCAATCTCAAAAATATAATAAAAGTAAATTTCCAAAATTCAAGTCAAAATATTCATAAAGAAATTCCAAAAGGAAGAGAACCCACCAATCTCCAACTAAGCAACGCAAGCAAAACAATTAAATAATAAAACATCAAGTAATGCAGAGAAAAATACTGGAAAGGAGGGGGAAATTTTCCTGAAGACCCAGCAACAGAATAGCGAAATCTGGGACTTATTTATTTATTTCTTGGAAAGGTTAGCGGACCACGAAAGGGGGGGGGGAACCCAGAATTCGAAAGCTGCATTAAGGTACCATTTCATTTTTCTTTGGCTTTGAAAACTTTCTCTTTGTTTCTGGGGTTTAATTTTCTGTTTACTTCTTTGGAGTTGGGAATTTTTGGAATAATAACGAAACCCATTTGATCTAATTACTTTCTTTATGATCATATTGTTTTATAGTATGAATTAGAAAGGTTAGGTGCGTTTTTGGATAATTGATATTTTAAGGAGGGATGATACGGTTTTAGGGTTAATTTTTATTTATTTGTTTGAATTGCTGCTGGGAAATTGCGAAAACAGCTTAAGTTTGTTCATTGCACAAATTATTTTTACTTTTTATATGACTACTATATGAATATAGACAAAATCATTATGGTCTAAGAGAATTTGATTAAATTGTGATGTTACTGTACTGTTATTGGGAACTTAGAAAGCACATAAATTATAAGCTGTGCCATACAAATGATATTAGAAACCATTTGGAGATAGGTTTTGGGAGTAATGATTTAGGTAAATTTGTTGGCTTCATTACTGCTGCGCTAGTTTTAATCTAGTAGCATGTGGAATTTGCACGCGGTTGCTGGAACGTTTTATGTTTTTCTTTATATCCTCGATTTGAAGCATGCTAATTCTGGGTTTAGATCATCACATGGTTGCTAAACTTGTATGGATGGTTCTACATTCCATTAGTCCTATCTGGTTATTTTTGTTCGAGTAGATTCGTTTCTCTATTCCAAAAGATACATCTGATGTGCATCTAAGTTAGATAGAATTGCAAATGATTACCAAAAATAGGGAAAAGATATCCAGATAACTAACTGTTAATTTCCTAAACACATGGACTATAGTGAAGAGGGACTTTGCCTGTAGTACCGAAGTTTATGAGGCACTGGAGTGAAGATGAATCCATTGAAGGAACAGTTACCAAATTTCTATTTTTCCCTAGCCTTTGTTTATTTCATATAATCTTTCAGAAGAAT